TGACGCTGACGCTGCTGGCCCTGGACCTCGCCGTTCTATTCCGAGTCCTGCTGCATTTTGACGTGGCCATTACCGGCGGAATTGCTCGACGTGCTGCCGCTGCTGGGCGGGAAACTCGTTGGTATGGTGCGGGACGACGAGAAGCACAGTTTCATGATGTATGGGAATTTGCCATCTGGAAAAGAAGAGGGAGGACGGGGGATATAATCAGCTCGGCCTTCTGGTTTCGTCGTTTGAGTCGATCGAGCAATGATTCGATGTCAATTGTTCGTTTGACGAAACGAATCGAGTAGAATTTGTTTATTATATATTGTGTTGAGAGAAGTTTATCGGTTAACAAATTTGAAGATCTAGTCAGTGTGGATATCAATAACTCGCTTAATAGTGCGAGAAGATTAGTTTGGAAACGGAGGAATTAAATTAATTATTTTATACGAGGAGATTTGTCGAGAGAAATACTCACTGCTGTTTTCCAATGCTGTGTGATTGCATTCCATGATGGCAGCTACCGCGATTCCGACGCTGCTGAACTCGATGAGGCCGGACGACGATCGTTCCGATTTAAGGGGGAACAGTTTCACTGTCGTTGGCGCCTCGATACCACGTTCCACGAATACACGATGCACGGTCTCCTCGGTTAAATCCGGGGGCGTGTTGAAAAAGTGGACTATCTTTGAGGGTGGTTGTATTCTATTTTTATTGGCCATCGCTGGATTTAGGAACCTGGAAACCGATAATAATACCCTTCGATTAAACCAACAGCATTTATCGCGAATTTCAATAAATCTTCGCAGTTCCATCCGATTATTTAATTAGTGCGCAACGAATTAAAATGCAAACCACACGACACGTATTACGCACGGGAAAACAAGTATACTGCTGTATGTGTAGCGCGGCGAGATGAAAACACGATGAATTTGAATTTCCGTCGAATCGATTTACGTGTTTCGATTGCAAAATTTCAACACCTCGAATTCATCTCTTCGTGATTAATTCCTTCGCAATAAGTACGTATAATCAATGGAGAGAAAGAGAGAAAAATGGTCGCAAAACAAGATCGTTCTAAAAATCTCCTGCCGCGATTAAATTCTCATCAAATAAATATTAAACCCGGCCGAGAAGTGGAGCTCGAAATCTCCGGAAGTAGGAGCGTCGTTAATTGCGCTCCGTTGTTCCGTTTCCACAAGAAACGTGTTCGTCAATGCGAAACGTTTCGTCCAATTCTCCAGATACCATAAAATCTCTCTCTCGTTAACGTTCATTCAGCGTTTCGAGAGATTTCGCTATCTCGAATTGATTTCAGATCATCCTTCAAGAGGAGGATCAATTCAAGAGAATCAGAAAACGAATACGATTTTGTTCAACGATCGAATCGAAATTTAGGAGAATTATATAATTGAAAATATATAATAAACGAGAAGCACGTTGAGCTAAGGAGGATAGCAAGGGAGGATAAAAATGGAATCGAGGGAGGAGAGAATTTTAAGATAGATTGGTATACATAGATGGATCTCATACCTGTTATTCTTGCTTCCTGTGAAATCTTTGAAGCTCGCTGTCTTGTCGGGCAGAATGTAGGGATTGGTGACGTCCGAGAGGAAAGCCTGCTTCGAGAAACCGAGCTGCAACCTTCCGTCTGTACCGATTGTCACGTTGTTCAGATTCTGTAGGCAACGCTCCACGGCTATGCTGTCGCCCATCTGGATCATTGCGCAGCCCTCTTTCGTCTTCAAAAACTTCACCTGTTGTAGAATCATCGATACATTTTTGTTCATCGAACTTTGTTTAAAATCGTTGGAGGGTCAAACAATCAAAGGAGAGGGTAATTCTTTCTTTTTATCTTTCCCAAAAAATTTTTGCAGTAACGCGATTTTCCGTTACGACGACAAGATTCGAAATTCGAATCTAAAACTTCTTGCTCTACTTAACGAGAAACTGAATAGTTTATATCATCGATTCGTGTCATCGTTTCTTTATCTTCCTTAAGTTCATCAAATTTTCATAGTTTTCTTTGTATTACGGTCAAAATGTAGTTAACGTTGATTAGCGATAACGAGATTCAAATTCAAATTTAATTTATTCAGATATCCCTGTTACCAAATTCAGAATAATCATAGTATCAGAGTAATCAATTTCCCCTCTCTTCTTCCTTCAAAGTTTAATCAAACTTTCATATTACTTTCTTTGCACTTTCGAATCAAGATATTACAATCAATCCAGCTAATCCTCTAAGCGAAGACGAGATTCGAATTCGAGTTCTAATTCCATTAAAATACCCAAATACATCCCCTTCTTTTCACTCAAGAGACAAGAAATTCCACGGATCGCTTGGCAAATACAATACAATACTCGAGACCACCAAAAACAACCCCGTAACAAATTTCACCCGGTCTTTATCCAAGCGACGAACAGTAATTCAAAAGCCGACGTACCTTCGTTACATTTCCATACAGGCAGAACAAGTTGAACAGTTTGTCCGTGTTGACTTTATCCGGTTGGAGCCCGTAGACCATCATCACGGACCCCTGCGTGCTCGAAGGTGGCGTTTGCCCCAAGGTGGGCACGTAACCAGGTCGAGGTGGCGTAGGATGTAATGGTTCTCGACCGCTGAAATCGCTCTTAATACCGTAACGCTCCACGTACGGCTCCGCATACGTCGCTGGTCCATTGAAATTCTCCTCGTAACGATCGTGACCGGCACCAGGTGGGAAAGTTACCTGTGGCGTGGATCCTGCGAACAAAAGCAATCGAGATGTGTGGAGGCGTGTGCGAGGCGAGTCGATGTATCCTTTGTCTCTCTCTCTCTCTCTCTCTCTCTCTCTCTCTCTCTCTCTCTCTCTCTCTCTCGATGAT